CCGGGCGCCCCCCCAGCTGCTCTACCCCAGGCGTCCCGCAACAAAAGCCTGGTCTGCTGGGGAAGGGGCGCACTAGTTGCGCCCCTTCCCCACCCCCCCAGCAGACCAGGGAGACCCGAGCAAAGCTGCGGAGGTGCAGAGGTCCCGCCGCCTCTGCGGCTTTGCTCCTGTCTCCCTGATGTGCTGGGGGAGACTCAAAGCCTGTGCGGCTTTGCTCCGGGGCAAAGGAGCAAAGCTGCACGGGCAGCAGGGTCCCGCCGCCTGTGCGGCTTTGCCCGGGAGTCCCCCCCCAGCACACCAGGGAGACCCAGAGCAGCTTTTCTCGCCCCGGAGGATGCGGTGGCGGGACCGCTGCGCTCTGGGCGGTCCCGCCGCCCGCGTGCTCCAGGGCGAGAAAAGCCCCGTTGGTAAGTCGGATCCGCGTAAGTTGGGGACTGCCTGTAAATGGCTCCCCCTCATGATTCCTGGTATTCTGTCTGAATTAAGAACACCATATCAAACACCTCTCCTCTCCCTCTCCAAAACAGTGTGGAAAGAGGTTGTCCTACTACTCTTCACCCAGTTCAGCAAACTGTTAGTAAACTTTACTACAATGGCGGGGAACTTGACTGATCCTAGGCACACCAGTAGGTCAGACATTTTGAATGTAACAGAAAGGAGTCCGGGTAAAACGTGCATCAACGCATCTTATTTTCATAGCTGTACAGCACTGTCATACATTGACATGTTCTTGGCAAAGAAACTATAAACCGACTGCCACCATCTAGCAGCTCATGCATGAGTGGTATAAGATGCCAGTTCCTAACTACTCAAAGCAGGGTAGAGCCTCCCTTCAAAGACTCTTATTTCATGTAGTCTGGTTGCCATAAGCATCTAAGTAATATAGCTTCTCTGAAAATCTCTTTATAATGCCAGGTAGTACTATGCAAGAGTCCAGCAGCTTTATGGTAAGCTGGGCAGTTGCTAGTTGTCCGTCAATTGACAAATTGCTGTGGGACAAATGCCAATGCTGTATGTCTAAAGGGGATTTTGCATCCCTAGTAACTAGTTAACTGGATAAACATGTTAAGCGGTTAACCGATTAAACGGGATGGGGGCAAGGGGAGGAATAGATGTGGTTACAATATCTGAATACAGATTCAGGTGACTCTCTCAAGCCCAAACGTTTGTAGATTTTATCCATGCTTTAGATGTTTCTGGCTTTAGGCAGGACTTATTTCAAAACACCTACATTCTGAGGCAACAAATTCAAAATTTAATTATTTCCAGGCAGGGATGGTGAGTGTACACAGATATTTTCATGGGAGCTACCGGTTCTAGCAAAATGGAAGATGTTTGAACAGCATGAAGCCCTATTTTAGGGGAAGGGCAGAGCAGGATTAAAAATTGTATGGAGGCCTCTTGATAGTGCCAGATCTTATGTGCTGGAAATAAATTACATAAGTGGAAATCAAGAGGCCTGTTCTGTATGGCTGGCTCTCACTAAAACTTAGAGAGACGTAGACAGCTAGAAGGGATGAGATTAGTTAATACATAACTCCATGGCCATTGCGTATCTGTAGAGGTGGGACTATATGGACTTGCAATCCTAGAGCTACTGATTTGAGGACACCCATGTAGCAGAATACCGATTTTATTTTAAACCCCTATTTAGACAAAATTTAACACTTCACAGATGTCTGTGTCAAAGTTGTTAGAATAAAAGTGATACATCAATTTGCACAGGCCTAATTGGTAAAGTATTGTCAACAACAACTGAAGACATGCCAAACAGAGTTAAATGAAAAATTATTGTTGGAATGATTTTCTGACAACTGCTTTTTTTGCAGAACCAAAGTTTGTAAGGGAAAATTTTCAGCTTTGCCAATAAACTGAAATTTCTGCTGGAAAAACTGACTGCTCCCTGCCAACAAGGCACTTGTCAATTTCACTCCTCTCTCCCCCTCCCCCCCCAAAGTAAACTGACAAAAAATCTTTCCTGGGAGGCCTGGATCCTGATTCTTTTACCTCTGTGTCCCCTCTGTCATCGCCCCCACCGCCAGTGTGGCTCTGAGGTTTTGCCTGGGAGTGAAACCATCAAGAGCCATCCTGGCAAGCAGCCAGGAAGGCAAAAATTTGTTTCAGTTCTCCTGGAAAGGGGATTTTTCTTGAAAATCCTTTCCATAAAAAATTGCATTTTTGATGTTTCATTCAAAATTGACAACAGCCCTCTAAGCAGAGCTTCCAAGAGAGGCAGAGACTCCAACAACTCCATATTCCCTCTCTGCTCCAGGATTGGAGAAGCACTGGCAGCTGTTGCAAAAAAAGCAAACATGATTCTGAGATGCATTAACATGTGTGTTGTGAGCAAGACCACGAGAAGTCATTCTTCCGCTCTACTCTGCGCTAGTTAGACCTCAGTTGGAGGATTGTGTCCGGTTCTGGGAACCGCATTTTAAGAAGGATGTGGAGAAATTGGAGAGGGTCCAGATTAGAGCAACAAAAATGATTAAAGGTTTAGAGAACATGACCTATGAAGAAAGACTGAAAGAATTGGGTTTGTTTAGTTTAGAAAAGAGAAGATTGAGGGGGGGCATGATATCAGTTTTCAGGTATCTAACAGGGTGTCATAAGGAGGAGGGAGAAAACTTGTTCATCTTGGCCTCACAGGCTAGGACAAGAAGCAATGGGCTTAAACTGCAGCAAGGGAGGTTGAGGTTGGACATTAGGAAAAAGTTCCTGCCTGTCAGGGTAGTCAAACACTGGAATAAATTGCCCAGGGAGGTTGTGGAATCCCCATCTGTGGAGATATTTAAGAGTAGGTTAGATAAATGTCT